CCATTTTCATTCTTAGAATTAATCAAAAAATATTTTAATTTAAAGTATCTTCTTTAATAAATAAAACTATTATTTCATCCCCATGGAGTGTATTATTTTTGTTTACAGTAGATTTTAATATGAAATAGAGCATCCACAGATGTGTGTAAACAAACTTCTTAGAAGAGTGTGTGCTCACATGTGTGTGAGAAAATGGAGAAGGGTTTATAGGATCAAAAATTATTATTTTCAGTATCCAAAGTCTTAAAAGTCTATTACATAGCAGAGTAAAGGGATGAGAGGGAAAAAACCACAAAGGAAAGGTTTTGTTCAACACTCAGCCAGACCCCAGCACTACAAGATGAGCAAACACAGTTTTGGCTGAAGCACAGGGTCTTTTTGCTTGATAGAAACTTGAAACTATAAAATACAGAAAGCATATTTCCTATTAATTTTGAAGCTCTTCTGAAAAGGTATTTGCATGAAAATGGTTACTAAGCCTATTTTAGGGTAGATCTGAGGTTTCTAATTTTTTTCTTTTATTCAGTGTGTGCTTACTACATGGTGATAACATCTAGTTTTTTGTAAGATATCCTTTTATATGTGGTTTACACAATGTGCATGTACCTTTGCAAATGGTTTAAAAAAATAGAACCTAGTTTAACTTAATCATCAAGTAGTAAGGAGTCCAGTAGAGAAGCAGTAAAAATAGAAGTTCTTTTTGAAAGCTAAATAAAGGAGCAAAAAAGGGGAAAAAAAGGAGCATAAGTCTATATATACTTATATGTTTGCATCAGAAATCCCTGAATTCTGAGTCTCTAATTTAAACTGTAAACAAATGCTGATTTTTAATAATGAACAGTTGTGGGAAACTGCCAATAACAAAAAGTTATTCCCTGAGACAAAGTGCGTGTACAGAGAATTCTCATATTATGTCTAGCTGTTGTTTATTCTACAAATAGATATTAATATTAGAATAGTTCTGTGTTTGCCAGCACTGGTGTTATGAGTTATTACTGGAGTTCTCATCAGCACCACAGCTGCTCAACTGGTCCAGCAGGTGAGGAGAGATGAAGATGAATCTTTGTTCAGCAGGTCCAGCTCAGACTCTCAATGGTCAGTCAGGAGCTCTGAGCACACAACCACATAAAACAAAAAAGCACACAAAAACCTAAACCCCCAAACATTACAAACCAAAACAAAACCAAAACAAAAAAAAATTTCACAAAATATGGAGAGAAAACAATTCGTGCATATTTAAAAGAAAGTACCCTAAAGACTGAAAGTCAATCCCATGATGTCTCCCTGAAAATCCACTTCTAAATACATTTTCTTCTGGTTTTTATTGTGACTCAGATGTAACATACACAAAGTTTTGGTTTAATTCCTGTTTATCAGATCATCTTGCTATTACAGCTCAAAAGAGCACTTGACTGACACTAGAGTATAAATCAGAGGAGGAATGTTAGGTTTGGGCTCAACTTTCTTACCTTTTCTTTTCTTAAAAGCATACTGACAGAAGGGTGCTCTAAAGGTTTGTACTTTTATTTATTCCTAGTCTAGCAATGCTGCTACATTGCTCCATTATTAACAACTTCAACGTAGATGAAAGCACAGATGAAAAGTGCTTTCATGTTTTTAAATCACTTAAAGAACCTTATCATCTTTTATGATTTGGGGAGGGAAAGGGTAAGGGAGGGAGGTTTCAGCATCTTTCCTTTATTAAATAAGATACACAAATTATAATGTTTTTTGTTTCTCAGTAAGACCATGCTTTCTAGACAGGAGAAATGGAAGGCAGTTGTCCCACCCTAATAAGTATTTTACACTGGGATTGTGTTTCCTTCAGGTCACCATTAAAAATAAGTAAGCCTTGATTCAGGAGAAGTGAAAGTTCCACATGTACTGGCTAGAAGAGGAAAGTTGCCTTGAGGCATTTTCCCACACAATCCACTCTACATCTGATTCCATGTTGAGGAATCTGCCACCTTGCCTCTACCTCAAATTTCCTTTGATTATGTAACTGTACAGATGTAACAAAAACCAGCAGATTGCAGAATGCCACTCAAAAACCATGCATGACAAAGGAAAACCAAGAATGTCCTCTCACTCTAGACAGAATACAAGAAAAAAGTTTTATTTAATGTCTTTAATCCAAATCTATGTATCAAAACATTTCATTTTCAAAAGGTAAGAGGTCCTGGAGAGAAATATTAAAACTGTAATTGCCAAAACCCAGTTGGATTTGGACGGGATACATTAATTTTAACAGAAGAGTTGAGGATGACTCAGGTTTGATGACAAGATGATCAAAGATCTCATCTTGTTACTATTGGGAATATGAGCAGTGAGAGAAAGTCTGGTCAGCCCGAACACCTGGAAGAGCAGCTGTGGCCTCTAAGCAGCAGCCCATCAGTCACTGTGAACAGTTAAAACATTCTTGCAAGTCTGAACAACCTCCACCCCTCTCAGGAAAACACTAAAACAAGCCAGCAAGAACTATTTCAGACTTCTGAGCTCTGAATATAGTTTTTGTTATTAGCATTTCACTGACAAACCATGATAAACAAAACCAGAATGAGTTCAACTTTGTCTTAAAAGATTTTCCAAACCCAGTAATGTACAACAGGCGGCAGCTCAAAACAGCTGTGAGCAGTTCCAGTGCCATGGTCAAACCAAATATTTTACAGTAAGTCAAAAATATTTCACTTTTCTAATAGAAGAGACAAAATACTGAAGAAAATATCTGCAATTCCTTAAAAAAAAAAGTCAAGTTTTTTTCTAATAGAAGAACAAAAAAATCTTTAAAGACTATTTATTTTAAGCATGTTTATTTCCCACAGAATTTAATCCCATCATAACACCCAAAGTTAGAAGAAATTTAAATGTATAAATTCCTGGATGTCTGCAGCTGGAAACTGCACAAGAATGTAATGAATGTAATTTCCTACTGTATGAACCACATTTTTATCCATCTAATGTTAATACAGAAAGTGAGAACATCTACCAAATCTTAATCTAGATCTGCCTGTCACATTATCTCAAATTTCATGTCAGTAAAACTGTTCAATCAGAAAGATGTCCAGGTTTCAAATGCAAAGAATCATCATACAGACCTATTTTTCTAAAAAAATTGCTTTCTAAACTTAACAAAAGCAGGAAAATAAGGAGTTGCTGCTCATTATCTTACAAAAAATTTACTTTGGCTCTCTAAAATAAGCACTGTTTATTAGACACAACAACAGACTAGTAAGGGAAAAAATAACAATAAAAAATATCTGAGTGATTCAATTCAGTCATCAACAGTTTGTAAAAAAAGAAAAAGATTATGGAATGCTGAATAATGACCTGCAAACTAAAATGAGGCACTTGAGCTGAAGCATCAATCATCCTGATAGGGAAAAGTAATATTTAGATGACTCCTGTACAGTAAAGTAGAACAAACTGCAGTGAAAATGGCTCCAGCAGCTCAGACTTTCAAGGTGCACTTTGATTCTTTATCTTAGGTAAACACCTCTAAGCAATGAAAGACCCTCCAAGAACAGAGATTACTCCAGAAAACAGAACTGGGTGTTTGACAGACCAAGAACAATGCAAACACTCCTTCATGTCTGTAGACAAAAATGAGAGAAAAAAGGGATTAGAAGAGGGCTCAATTATTGACACTAATTATTAGATAGTTTGATTTAAAGGTGAAGATGGACACTGACTGCTGTCAGAATGGCTCAAAGAAGATGTGGGACATGGTGTCAGGTGTAAGAAATGACATTCCACTGAAGGATTTCCACAGGTGTGAAAACTTCCCATTCCCCAAGCCACAGCATTAGAAATGTGTAGCAGAGAACTATCACACCCTGCTAACAAGCACATCTACAAACCAGCAGAGTTTCTGCATTTAAATTCTGGTACATTTAGATTATGTACTAGATGATTTACCTTCCATTGAGAGGGGCACAAAACCTATACATTTATCCATCAAACCTGCCTGGATCTTAGTTGGTATGAATCATATTTGTCTCCTCAACTGACAGTAAACCAGGGCTTTTAATTCATATGCCATATCTAATGGTTGATTGAATGCCAATTTAACTTGGCTATTTGGATAAGTAAACCAGATGATTAAACACAGTCCCTATGAAGAAATGTTTACTAATGGTTTCAGCACGAGGTTTAGAAGTTCTTGAGGGAAGCAAATGCCCAAATGAGAAAAAACTCAGTCTGTACAGTAGGTTACAGGTTTTTCATGTAAAAACATTTACATTTTGAATTCATTAATCCATTGGACATAGCAATGACCACTTGATAAAATAAGAGATTAATTCCCCTAGCTTACAAGTTCATAGAGGCAGGTTATTTCAAATACTAGTTGCATGCTGTAATGCTCAATTACAGACAATTACAAAAGAAATTAGATGTGTTTCCTCCTTTCAGTTTTTATGAGGTCAGGGTTCAGCAATATGGGTGAGCAGTGACAAAATGCAGTAGAGGAACCAGCACTCCCATTCTCACACTTCAGCAATGCAGCATTTAAGAACAGGAAAGGAATTCCAAGGCAACTGATGAACAATGAGTGTATGTTGGCCATGTGGCTTTTTACCATAACAGTGTTTTAGTTGTCTTTTCAGTACAGATTCTGTTAAAGAGAGACACATTTAGGTGAAAATGTTATCATTTCCAAAATTAACCTAGGTAATAGGATACCAAGTTAGCTCATTGGCTAAGCCCAAGATCTGTGCAAAAGATATCCTCTGGTAAAGGGTCATGGCATCTGTGCCCACCAGATGTTTTGATCAGTGAATCCTGGTTTGCCTCATTTACAAATTGTGGATTTCAAAAGTAAAAGAACTCTGAGAAAAAAACATTCTAATTTAGCACAAAGCAGTGGAAATAATGGGAAGATAATATCCATTCTCCTAGAGCTCTTTCATTAAAACTTCTTCTAGCACTGAGATGCTGTAACAAGGAACAGACTGTCCACCGAGGATTATGGTAAAAGAAACCATTTCTGACTTTAAACATACCTTGTCTGGGAAACTCATCCGACTCCCTGTGCACCAGGTCAGACACTCGATTCCCATAGTGCATCCTGGTGTCGTGATCATACGCCTTCAGTGTCTCACTGGAGCTGTAGGACTTCTGTGTGGGCACCCTGCAGTCCTCACTGTCCAGCGAGGAGCTCGTGTAGCGGCACTGCTTCCCACAGCGGCCCCGCGTCAGCGAGCGGTGCCTCCTGTCCTTTATGTCCATTGTTCTCAGCCAGGCACGCTGCTTCCACAAGAGCCACTCTTCTATTTGGGGTCAGTCACTGTCACCTAACAACATGAAAGGATGACAAAAGAGTAAGTAATGCTGCCACTGCATTTTGTTTTATTCTACTTTCCCTGACTTGTCCTTGAAGAACAATGTGGCACGGATCGAGAAGAAAGGGAAGGCCCACATGATGCATCCTCTAAAAATTGAAATAATTGACCTGAATGGGTGGGGAGAAAAAAATTAAATGCTGTAAGATAATTGCATTCTATCTAAATTATCGTATCATTAAAGAGTTTAAAAAAAAGGATAAAACCACTGTCATCTTTTGATTTTTGAATGAACTCTGGTAACAACGCAGAACTGACAGAACAGAATTTGTTTCTGTTATGTAACAGAAGAAAAGTAGACTCAAACCAGCTTTAATTATTTCCATTCTTCCTGCAGGAGGGCTTCCAATTAAGACTGAAGCATGCAGGAGAGTTCCAAAGAGGAGATTATTCCTATTCAGCGTTAATGCATTACCGACCTTTGACGTGTTTGCCAGCAGCAGCAACTGATTTCCTTGTCCCTGGTTAACTTTAGTCCAAGGCCCTGCTCTGAAGGTGGACAAGGTCTGTCCAGAGGTCCATCCCACCTCTGACATTCCTGTGTGGCTGTGTCTGAGCACACTTTGGGGACTGGCTGCTCTGGTGCACCCCAGAATGGGACTGGATGAGCTCCTTCACCACCCCTCAAGATGACCAGTTTATCCAACTCAGCACTTGGAGCTCTTGAAAACTGTCTAAATCTCTTCTTGTTCAGTGGACCATAGAGTTTCTTACAGTGGGCTTAATTAGGCCACCCTTACTGTGGCATATAGACTTTAATATATGCATCATTAGCATACAAAAACTGCAAAATGAAAGCTACTGGAGAAAGGAAGAAATACAGTAAAAGCACAAACACCCTACCCACTGGGGTACTAATTATTTTCAGTTGGTATTAGTATGTATGTCTTTCTCTCATGGCATGCTATGCCCAGGTCTGTGCTAGTCCTGAGAAATCCTCATGACAATTTTTTTTTTTTTCTGGAAATTAAATCTTCCCACATAAAAAAATACTCAGATTTGCTAATAAGCAAAAATTGGAAAAAAACATCTTGCTCTTCTCTACATGGCTAAAGAGGTGAAGGACTGGTTTGGGTGAATTTAGCTGGGACAGTTGAAGAGCTTTTCCTTGCCCCTGTCCCCTCTCAGACCAGGTTCCCTCTGCCAAGCCCACCCAGCAGAATGTGCCCAGGCCAGAAGCTTAAACCAGCAAAGCATTTCAGCAGTGATTCCTTGTGCCACCTCTGCCACCAAAGGAACAAACTGCAACAGAAGATGCTAAGACATGCTGCAGAAGGCAGCCAAGCCTCTCATTGTGGGGGTTGTTTGCACCTGCAGAAGAGGTCACAGCACTGGCACAAGTATTGGCTAAATCATTGCCTTTTGAAACAGATTTTGGCTGAGAAAGAGAATAAATGTACTTGGCTGAGAAGCTGGTGACCTAGAGAAAAGGTTTCTTGCCTTCATTTAGATTTGACATTTAGCCTTGTTGTGGTTTTTGGGTTTTTGGTTTGTTTTTTTTTTCTTTCTTTATTTTAAAGAGGAAAGTTAGGTAACCACAAGAAACAGCTGCTTTAAGCCACCCACAGGTATTCTGCAATCTGTGAGGAATAAGAACTGTAAACATGCTTACTTTTTTTCTTCTTTTTCATTTATTTTTAACATTTCAGAGGGGAAAAAAAGTCACAAAACAACACATACAGAAAAGCCAAAACAAAAGCAGAGACATTTGGCACTTGAAACTGTCAAGGTTCGTTTTATAACTTCAGATTAAAGAGAAAGAAAGATTCAATACACATTCCTGTTTCTCAGCTCTCTGAACATATAGTGGCTGACTCCTCCATGTCTGAATTTTTTAGTTCATTTTTTTAGTCCTGTAATATTGATTAAACTGGAAAGCACATTAACTGTAAAGCATATCAACACTGGAGGCACAAACAGTTTCTTGAAGTTTCAGAAGATATATGATCATTTAGATTAACAATGCCTGGCTCTTTGATCCCATTTTAATACTCTCTCATCAAATTCAGATATCAATACATCACAATTATAAACACAGAAACAGACATTGACACTACAGCATTGAGCAAAACCTGCCAGTTACTCTCTGGGAGTCCTCATGCTGCTACTCAACACAAAAGCCTGTCATTCCATATGAATTCTATATTGTCTGTCAGTTCAGACAAACAAACAGCTTTTTGTTTTTATGACTGCTAAACTTAAAACTGTCTGGCCTGATTTCTATTGTTTCTGAAAGAACATTTAATTCCTTGTTACTGTAGTTAAAAGAAGGATTTACTGTGACTGAGATAAAACCTCTGAGTATTTCCAGGACATTAGCTTATTAAAGCATCTTCTCAGGCAGACAAGACTTTTTGAAATTGTTCCCTCAATAACCATTCTTTTGTAGAGTTTTGTGCAATTCCCCTACAAATACAAAAATAAAAGGAAATGGTAAGACAGAGTTCCACTGCTGACTGTGCCTGGAAATATTCCTCAGTCATTGGCACATGCAGAACGTGAGGCACAATGTCTGCACTAGAGAAACTCCAACTAGCTAACATAAGAAAATAAATGTAGAAATGTCCCAAGATCTTTACTTTGATCTTACCTAAGGAAAATCTTTTTACAAGAATCAGATATCAGAATAGTCTGGTGAATAACCTGGTTTTTATGATACCAGACTATTAAAAATTTCTTGAACTTTATTAATTTTGTAGGTCCTTCAAATTCTAATGATAAAATAACATTTTAAGTGGATTTTTTGTTCAATGTCATTTTCATATTTATTATTTTTAATTTTAATTGTCCTTATTTTTTTCATTATTTGAGGACAAATCACAAGTATTTGAGACTAAATATATCTACCTGAACACAAAAAAAAGTTCTCAGAGATACTTCTCTCCTCCTCACCTGTGCTTTGGGGATTTCTTTGAACTTAAAGCAGCCAGGCAAAAACCAGTTCCAGAGCATCATGCTCAAAGCATTCTCAAAAATTAGAGATCACCATACATTGCTTAAAACCCAGTGAATTAAGTTGTGAAACATTCCTAGAAAATATGTTTCACTTTCTTTTTTTTCATGCTTAAGATAAATAGATGAAATTCTGCTTGAATTCAGTGCTGAACACTTTTCCTGTTAGTGAAATCTTTATGTACTGTATTCCTGGAAAGGAAAAGTGTGATAGCTTTGCTTAGAGAATAATGGTGAGATGCAATTTGAGTTCAGAACTCCTGATACTCTTTGACTTGCCTGTCTCAAGGGCACTCTCTGAATGGTTTATTTTGAGTAATTGACCTAAATTGTAACTGATTTAATAATTTCTTTTGTTTCAAAGGATTTAACTAATACAGCTCATTCTGACCCACTTACACTACACAGCAGTACAACCACTAACAAGTGAGTTCAACTGTTTTTCCCATCTAGTTTTGGTTTTATTATTTCAGAAACACAGGAGCTCTGCCTAGCTCTATGAGAAAGGTGTTTATTCAGAAAATATTTATTATTTATAGTGGCCTGCTAAAGGGCTGGTCTAGTTTCACAGGAATACAGTCTCAGCTGATCTGGACCTAGCATAGATCTAAAGCAATCAACAGCTCAGGCTGTATTTGCTGCTGATGTACACATGTGCCCCAAGTTACACATGTGTGATACACTTCTGACTCTCTATTCACCCAATATAAGATTTATTGCGGTTCTATAAAGCAGCTGTGTACCTGAACATGACTTAGGCAGTGGTAATGGGCAGCACGAGGGCATTCAACCACTGCACGTCCTACAGGGACAACAGACACAAGGGGCAAAAAAGAAGAGATAGGATAAAAGGAAAAAAAGCTGAGGAGAAATGAAAAATAGGCTTTTGTTTAGAGGGTTTAAAAAAATTAAATTTTTGTGTTAGCACAGCCAAATCAATAGGAGGCATGGAGGGAGGGCTCAAAATGAATTTTAACAGCTTAGCAAAGCTTATGCTAAAACTCTCTGTAAATTTAAAGTTGATTCATACATACATTTATCTAACTCAGGTCATGGGCTTGTTTGCTGCATTTTGTAATGATCCTGACATGATTACAGTGTACAAGGCCATTAGCACTGCCACTCACACCTCACAGAGCCCAGGAATCACTTGGAAGTTCAGGGAAAACAAAGAACTTCACATTTATATTGTGACCCCAAATCACCTGGCACAACCAAATCAAAACATTATAGTAGTGCAGACAGTGCTGGAAACAGCCTTTTTTCTTTTTGCCCCCTCTTTTTTTTTTTTTTAATTTAAAAGAAGTAGCACACCATGTACCAATATGTTCATTAAAAAAAAAAAAAAAAAGGTCTCTTGAAAGCCTGGACTACTTTTCAGGAACAGCAATTGGAAATAAGCTTGTGATTCAGTGATTCAGAGATTCAAATGCTGTTCATTATTTTAAGGAAAGACTATTTGTGATATGAGAAAATGCAACAATTCAGCTTTGGTGCTGGACAAATTTCCAGGCAAAGCATTAAAATGGTTATTTGACTATTATATTTATTTCTGATTTTAATTTCAGTGAAAAAGAATATCTCTACTTCTGGATCCCCTCTGTCTATTAAAAAAAAAAAAAAAAAAAAGAGGCAATAAATAAAATGAAATTTTAACCAAAATACTACACCTAACTACACTACAATATGTGCACTTTGTTAGATGAAGTAATATTAATGACAAGTATGCTGGTTTGATTTGCCCCAAAAATCAAAGCATATTTGGACAGTCTGTTTGGTGTAGCCTCATTTTTCACTGATAAATTGCTCTTCTGAATGTTTTAATTCCTACCTTTTTTTTTTTTCCTCTGTCCAAATACTGAATTTCTGTTTTAGTGAGCCACTCTAAATGAAGTTGGAAATAAGATATATTTAGTATGACAAACAGCTATGTCAGAATAGTAGTGATGAAAGATTCAAGTTAAGTAATATAAGACACAATGCTTATAGGCACTC